GCCCTCTTTTCTTTCATCCCTTCAATTCGTTTCCATTCTTCAATTTAAGTGTGTTTTTGAAGTCTTGCTGTAGGCCAGGGGTGGGGAACTAGGGCCCTTTTAGGACTGGTGGACTTCAACTCCCAGAATCCCCGAGCCAGCTGTGTCAGGCATTCTGGGAGTTGAAGTCCACCAGCAATAAAAGGGCCCTAATTTTCCTCTTTTACAGTGGGGTATTCCAAAGGGCAAGTCCCAGCTTTGAAAAGAGTTTCTATCATCTGATAAGGAAAATGAACATTATATAAACATAGAATAACATACATAGAGTTGGAAGGGACCTTGGAGGTCTTCTAGTCCAACCCCCTGTTTGAGGAGGAGGAGGAGTTTATACCATTTGAGACAGGTAGCTGTCCAGTCTCTTCTTAAAAGCCTCCAGTGAGGGACATTAAGGACTACTCGTTAAGTATGGTTTGTCAGCCAGTTGCAAATCCGTCTGGTGATGATGCTATCTATCCCACTTTTTTCTTGCTTGCCAAGAAGTAGGTTGAGGTCTACTTTGTCGAATGCCTTGCTGAAGTCTAAGTATTATGTCCACAGTATTTTGCTGGTCTACTAATTTAGTCACTATGTTCAAGAATGAAATAAGATTGGTTTGGCATGATCTGTTTTTAACAAACCCATGCTGACTGCTAGTTATTACTTTACTTGTTACTTAGACGTTGGCAGATATTTTCTTTTATTATCTTTTCCAGTATCTTCCCGGGTATTGATGTTAGCCTGATTGGTCTGTAGTTTCCTGGGTCTGTTTTTTTTTTTGTTGTTGTTGTTTTTGAAAATGGGAACCACATCATCTCTTTTCCAATACTCTGTATACTTTTTCAGAGTATAAAACACTCTGGATTATAGGACGCACCTACCTTTTTTGGTGAGGAAAACAAGAAAAAGAAATCTGCCTCTGCCTCCTAGCAATTTTGCCTCGTTGCAGCAAATAGCCTGCTTTACTTTCATTTTTGTTTTCTGCATAGCTTGATAAGCACAAGAAAAAAAACCTGCTCCCAGCAATTTACCTCCTAGATCTAGTTTAACAGCTCCAACCCTAATAGAGCATGCTGCAAAAATAGGGTTCCTGGCATATTCCCCATTTCCTCCTAAAGAATTGCACTTCCAGCATGGTTGAAAGGAAAGAGAACCTTCTGAACTCAAAGTCACTTTTGGTTTTCTTGCTCCAGCCGCGTTACCAGATGTGCCCATGCCTCAAATTGAACACATTGAGGTGGAGATTGTAAGAAAAAAACTTTATTCTGTAGAAAAAGTAACACAAGGAAATCTTCCTCAAAACCTTGATACCCCACCCGTGTCCAATGGAGGGCTTTACAAAGAATTTGCCAGACAATTTCAAAGTCAGAGTCAGAAGGAATTCCTGCCTGTTTTACACTAAAATTTTAGCCTTCCTGCATACTGGTATATGTAACACAGAGCTCATCCAAGCTATTTTTAATCTATCCTAATATGTGCACAGGGAAACCTCAACATGTCTGTAAATGTTGCTTCGGCAGTAATCCCAGTATAATGTGATTCGCAAACATGGCAACTGGCCTGCATTTTTGATAGTTGGATCATCCCAGGGTCACATAATCACCATTTGAGACCTTCTGACAGGCAAAGTCAATGGGGAAGCCAGATTTACTTAAAAACCATGTTACTTACTGAACTCCTGTGGCAAGACAAGTTGTAAAATGGCACAAAACTCACTTAACCACTATCTTACTTAGGCATGGGAATTTGGGATTTAATTTTCGTAATAAGTCAAGGGCTCCTGTATTTTCTTAAGCTGGTCCCTAAATTGTCCAATTTACTGACCAAAAACAGCCAATATTTGAGATGTATAAGCTAAGCGTTTAATTACCGTATAAGTTAGGTCTTTAATTAAAAAAACAAACACAATCAATATCACATCTCAGACTAAAAATCAGTTAAACACAATCAATGTTAGGTGGTGTAGACACAGCACCATCCCTCCAGTTATTACTTTTGACAAAACTCTCGAGTCTCATATTGGTTCATTAGTTCATTCTCTTCCATCACTTTTTCCCAGTGAAATGCTCAGTGAAGATCCTATTTCTCTTTGTTCTGGGATGACTTTCACCACATGGGCATAGTAGATCCACTGCTTGATTCCTTCCAACCAGTGGTGGGTTCCTCCCGGTTCGGGCCGGTTCCACTGAGCCGGTAGCAGTGACGATATGACGTCACCAAACCGGTTCTGGCGCTCCCCCGCCACCCTACCGCGTTATTCTTACCTTTTATTTGGCCCCACCCCCAATCTATTGCTGCCTCCTGAGTCCCAGCTGATTGGCTAGAAGGATAAAAACTGTTTAAACTCTTGCCGCGGGGCTTCAAAGGGCCGCCCTACAGCTGATCAGTGTTAAAAGGCAGTGTGGTGGTAGACCGGTGCCTCCAAAAACAAATGAGTAGACCAGTGCCTGCAAATATAAATGGGTAGACCAGTGCCTCCAAAAACAAATGAGTAGACCGGTGCCTCCAAAAACAAATGGGTAGACCGGTGCCTCCCAAAAAAATGAGTAGACCGGTACAGTTCTGCAAGCAGTTAAAAGCCTGGTAGACCAGTACCTCTGCTAAATCCTAAAGAATTGTCACATGACCATCAAGCCACACCCACAAAATAAGCCACACCCACAGAACCAGTAGTAAAAAAAATTAGAACCCACCACTGCTTCCAACATTAGGGAAATATGAGAAGTCAACACCATTAGGTCTGGAGCTCACCACTTAGGTTGCAATGTTTCCTCTTGAAATATTGCAGCATCTTCTCTATATTCTAAGACAGCTTTCTACACCCTAATGTTGTCTGAAAGTGTTATCCCAAAGGTGTTTTTTTTTGAAAAGGCAACTGGACTTTCTTGTTTTTCCTCAAAGACCTTCCACTTCTCATTGAAGAAGCTTCTTCAGTTCCGAACAAAAAAAGAAAATCCAATTGCCTCTTGAAAAAAGTACCTTTGGGACAATCACAACCTGGATGACTGAGAATCACCATAGACATCTGGTTGTGTTAGTTTCCAAACCCCTGTTTGGAAACTAACAACATTGCTCCAAACATTGCTGTTCGCATGTGCAAAAGTTAATCATTTGTTGTATGTATGTACACTGAGAGCTTATATACCCAATTCCAAACAAATTCCTTTCTGTCCAATCTCACTTGACCAATAAATAATTCTGTTCTGTTCTCCTCCTCTATTCTATTCAAGCATAAAGATCTAATACCATGTTTCCCCAAAAATAAGCCCTACCCTGAAATAAACCCATCTGATTTTTAAGCCCTGCTCCAAAAATAAGCCCCAGTGAAGGGGGCTGGATGTGGCTAGCAAAGGAGGGAGCGAATGCACACAATGGTGACCAGCAGCAGCCAAAGCCTGCACAGTGCAGGTGAGTTGATTACCTGTCCAAGGAGCAGATGGAGGCAGAGACGCGGGGGTGGGGGGGGGATGCAAGCAATCCAGATGCGACGCACAGGCCATAATAAAGCTGTGTCGTTGGGATAGAGTGGGTGAGCGGCCGCAGGTTCATCATCGGGTCTCTTGGTTTGCCTGCAACCTGCGTGGTGTGTTGGGATCACCTGCCGTCCACCCAATGCCTCTACCTCCATCTGCTGCTGATACTGCCATGCGAAGACAAGCTGCAGTGTGCTGACCAAAGGAATGGAGGGCTGCAGCTGCTGCCGGATACCGTCGGTCCCCACCTATTCTGTCTGCACTGGTGGGGAGGGGGGGGCTGGCATCCAGCTGAGCTGATCATCCTGGAATCACGTTTCCCCCAAAATAAACCCTAGTGTTTATTTTGGAGCCCCAAAAAATATAAGACCGGGTCTTATTTTAGGGAAAACACAGTATCCAAAAGTTAATTCCTAGATATAAAAGAAAACTCTTTTTTTTTAATGGATCAAAAACCTTCTACTGCTTTGGAACCCTTTCCCATACACCTTGCATTTTTACAGATTTTCCTGGGCATGAAGCAAATTTTGAAAATTAGCACAAACCAATTAACGTCTTTTTCTGCTGTGCATCTTCTTATGTCCATTAAAGTCACTACAGTTTGTGAATTTCTTTCTACACCCCACATACTGATACAGCATCTCCCCAGTGTGGATTCTTTTAGGGAGTGTAAGATTGCCGCTGAGTCGGAAACTCTTTCCACTGTCAGTCCATTTAAACCAGTGGTTCTCAACCTTCCTAATGCTGCGACCCTTTAATACAGTTCCTCATGTTGTGGTGACCCCCAACCATAAAATTATTCCTAAAACCACTGAAAATATGTGTTTTCTGATGGTCTTAGGCGACCCCTGTGAAAGGGTTGTTCGACCCCCAAAGGGGTCGCGACCCTCAGGTTGAGAACCACTGATTTAAACGTTTTTTCTCCTGTGTGGATCCTATTGCGGGAGGTAAGCTGGTCACTCTCACTATAGCATTTTCCACATTCCAGGCATTTATAGGGTTTCTTCCCTGAGTGAAGCTTTCTATGGTTCTCGAGTGAATGATTTTGATTAAAGCTTTTTCTGCACTCATTACATGTGTATGGTTTCTCCCCCGTGATGATCCTCTTGTGGATACAAATGAAACCACTTCTTCTGAAACTCATCACACACTCCATACACTTATATGGTTTCTCCCCGTGTGAATCCTTTTATGAATTTTCAATTCTTGAGAATCACTGAAGGGTTTTCCACACTCCTGACACTGATATGGTTTCTCCCCAATGTGGGTTCTGCTATGTACGATATAGCTATTTTTTGCATTAAAGCTCTTTCCACACGTGCGGTATTTGTATGGTTTCTCGCCAGTAAGGAGCCTTTTGTGGCGAGTGAGGGACCACATGCTGCTAAAGCATTTGTCACATGCAATGCACTTTTAAGGCTTTTCACCCATGTGGGTCCTTTTATGGAGAGAGTAAGACTACTTGGCTTCCTGAAACACTTCTAACTCTCGGTGCATTGATGTGGTTTTTCTCCACTGTGGATACTTTTATAAGAAGTTAGGTGGCTGGATTTACGGAAGCTCTTTCCACACTCCAGGCATTTGTATGGTTTCTCCAGTGTGGGTCCGTTCATGGACATGAAAGCTATCAAAACGGGCAAAGCCCTTTCCACACTGCAGGCATTGAAAGGGCTTTTCCCCCGTGTGGATTCTGTGATGGGCAGTAAGGCTTGCTGAGAAATGGAAGCTCTTTCCACACTCCATGCATTGAAATGGTTTTTCCCCCGTGTGCATCCTCTCATGTGACTTAAGTTGACCTTTTTGACTGAAGCTCTTTCCACAATACAGACATTTATAAGGTTTCTCCCCTTTATGTATCCTGTTATGTATGGTTAGAGTATCACGTCTGTTGAAGCTTTTTCCACACTCCAAGCATTCATAGGGTTTCTCCCCTGTGTGGATCCTTTTATGCTGAGTAAGGGCACTGGAGGTTTTGAAGCATTTTTCACACTCTGTGCATTTATACGGCTTCTCTCCACTGTGGATACTTTTATGGGAAGTTAAGGTGCTGGATCTAGAGAAGCTCTTTCCACACTCCAGGCATTTGTACGGTTTCTCTCCTGTGTGGGTCCTTTTATGGATATTAAGGTGTCTTGTTTCAGTGAAGCGCTTCCCACAGTCAGTGCATTGATGTGGTTTCTCTCCACTGTGGATACTTTTATGGGAAGTTAAGATGCTGGATCTACAGAAGCTCTTTCCACACTCTAGGCATTTGTACGGTTTCTCCCCAGTGTGGGTCCGTTCGTGGGCATGAAGGCTATCAGAACGGGCAAAGCGCTTTCCACACTGCAGGCACTGAAAGGGCTTCTCCCCCGTGTGGATTCTGTGATGGGCAGTAAGGCTTGCTGAGAAATGGAAACTCTTTCCACACTCCATGCATTGAAATGGTTTTTCTCCTGTGTGGATCCTCTCGTGTGACTTAAGGTGACCTTTTTGAATGAAGCTCTTTCCACATTGCAGGCATTGAAAGGGTTTCTCCCCTTTATGTATCCTATTATGTATGGTTAGAGCACCACTTCCACGAAAACTTTTTCCACATTCTAAACATTCATAGGGTTTCTCCCCTGTGTGAATCCTCTTATGGCAAATAAGGGCACTGGAGGTCCTGAAGCATTTCCCACACTCTGTGCAATGATATGGATTCTCTCCTGTGTGGACCCTCTTGTGTAAATTGAAATGGCCTTTTTGGGTGAAACTCTTCCCACACACCGTGCAATGATATGGTTTTTCCCCTGTATGGATCCTATTATAGTAAGCGAGATCACTTGCAGTGCGGAAGCTTTTCCCACATTCCAGGCATTTACATGAAGTATTCCCAGTGGGGCTTTTTTTCCAGGAATTCAGTTCCTTGCTCCAAGTAAACCTCGTTCTACCCTCTGTGTGTTGATACAACTTCTCCTCTCTGTGGATGCTTTGATGGGAAGCAAGGGAGGTGCTGTTTCTGAAGCTGTTTCCCCTATGAATGCATTGATGCTGCTTGCTCTCTCCATGGACCTTCTTATGTGAATTAAGAGGACTTTTCTGACTGAAGGTCTTTCCACACTCCAAACATTTATGCGGATCCTCTGCTTTGTGAATTTTTTTATGTGATGCAAGACAGCAGCTTGTTTCAAAGCTTTCTGCACACTCCGTACATTTGTACATTTTCCCTCCTTCTTGTATGCTTTCATGTAAAAGAGGAGGAAGGCTCCTTCTGGGGTGTTGCCTGCTTTCATCTTGTTTCTCTCCAGCAGGGCTTTCGCAACAGTCACATAATCCCAATTCATCTCTGAGTGTTTTCCCACACCTTGAACACTCTCCTTTTTCTTGGCAATCATCTCCGTCCAATAAGACATTGGTATCTGGACAAGGTAAAGTAGAGCAATTCTCCAGCTCCCCCGTTAACTGCTTTTCCTCAGAACTTTGCTGTCCATGCATCTTTTCTGCAACTTCCTTTTTGTCTTTTGGCAAACGTGTTGCTGCCTCTTGGCCAGAATCCTCCATCTCCCATCCGTCACCTGCTTGCAACAGAAAAAAAAGAAAAGTTAACACAAACATAAGTGCAAAAGGGATCAAGCACTGTTACTGTGTTTGAACAGTATCAACCTTCTTCCCAAATCCCATTTGTTCTAAAGATGGTGTCAAACCTGAAACCATTTTGGATCATGTTCAGGGTTGCCACAGAGAGGCTGGGTAGAGCTATGGGAATGGAAGGGGGGAGTAGAGATAGCTGGGCATGTGTAGCCAAAATAGAATTCTTTCCCCTGGGAACCAAGGACGTTCTAATCAGCACTTGCTGAGGCACGGGAGGAAAACAACTGGACTCTGACCTGATTGGACCATGTGATGTATGAGTATACTGTGGAGGGAAGAACTTTGGATTTTGAATTGGGTGGGGAAAAACTCAGGACCTTCAGAGTTGGGTTTTCACCAATCTATACTTTGAGGAATCATCAAGCCTCAGCGTTTTGATTGTTTTGGGTCTGTTACTTGAAACCCTGAGACATGGTGCTATGCTTGGTAGTTAGTTGATATAAGATTTGACCTTTGGCTCTCTCTTGTCCTCAATGGTACAAAATGAAAACGTGAAAATTTTGGATAAGATCATTTAAAACTTATGGGGTGAGAAGCATCAGATCTCCTGCTTCAGATTTACTTCCAATGAAGCAGAAGGGACACTTAAAAGAGGCCTATGTTTATTCATTCATTCATTCATTCTGTCAGAATTTGCAGAGTGACAAACCAGAGTGACTAGTATTATGAGATAAACCCAGGAGCAAAACACAGCACACAGCACACAGAGCCTTTAGATAATTAACAGTGGTTTATAAACAACTAAATATTTACAGACGTATACGTGCTACGGACACAAGAAGAGCAATGAGATACACTAGGAGAGAGAACATGAGAAGACGTGAGGGAAAGGGAACGCCCTCTAATGGCTTCCCTTATATAGGCAGCTTCTTACCCAACTTCTTAAAGTGGCAGTAACCCTGCTGCCTCAGTCCCATTGCATCAGCTTCAGGTTGCCTTTGCTTACAACCTCTCATAAGCTTACAGCTATTAAATCATCATACCCTGACATATTCATTAAATTTATTGGCCTCCAGCTTGCCATAGGGAAACCCTTGATGCCTTATGATATTAAAAGGATAAAAACTATATAAAAGCTATACACCAGGGGTGAAATGGTACCGGTTCGGACCGGTTCAGCTGAACCGGTAGTGACAGCAGCACACAGTTCAGAGAACTGGTAGCGGCAGCAGCATGAGATTCTACCCATCCGCCCAGACGTCATTACTTCCTGGTTTTAACCAGGACGTAACCTGTGTTTTGAGCCTCTGCACATGCACAGGTTTTGTGCATGTGCAGAGGGTCCAAGTGCGTGTGAACCCTTGGTTGGCCCCACCCCTGCCCACCCAGGCGCTTGCCTGCCTTCGCAAGCTGGCCACAGGGACTGCCGGGAAGGCCACATGGAAGACAGGCAAACAAGCATGTCGGCACCACCCGGCCACATTGAAAGGGGCTAACAGCCAACTCCCTTCCCCATGGCACTGCCATGCTTGCCTGCCTTCTACGTGGCCTTCCCAGCGATCCCCCATGCCTGCTTGCCTTCCGAGGTCCAGTCCCACATCCAGCCCTTGATGGGAGACATGCCACTTCCGGCTCAGCCTGGCCAGCAGGTGGGTGGGCGGCCCTTGGAGGAGATGCAGCTGCTGCGCTGGGGCCGAGAGGTGTTGGGCTGCACATGTAGTGGCAGCACTGCATGTGCAGCCCTGGAACATCCATCCTCTGTCCTGGAGCACCGCTGCAGGCCCAAAACTTGCCTTCGCCTCTGCAGCCCACTGGCCCCTCTTGCCCTTCTCTTTCTGGACACAGCGCTTCTGCTTGTTGGGCCACTTCCTGGAAGCTGGCAGCTCCGCGGCCAGCTGCTTTGCTTTTTCCCTCTTTTTGGGAGGCTCAGAGGAGGCTTGCACAGCAGCACCGGCACCAGCACCGGCATAGGGGAGGCAGGCAATCCAGACAGTGCTGATGCTTTTTCCATGCGGCTGCAGGCAAGCCAAGGGACAGTGGGATGAAGGGGCTGGTGCATTGGGATCGCCTCTGCCTCCCCCATGCCTCTGCTTCCACCTTCTACTGGTGCTATCATGCAAGCCTCCCATGAGGAAAAAGAGGGAAAAAGCAAAGTGGCTGGCTGCAGAGCTACTAGCTCCGGGAAGTGGCCCAACAGGCAGAAGTACCGCACCCAGAAAGAGATGGGCGAAAGTCATTCTGCGCTGAAGCAGAGGCATTCTGAGCCTTCAGCATATCCCAGGATTGCAACGCTGAAGGTTCAGAACGGAGCTTTTTTTACGAACGGCAGCAAAGTGGAGAGGGGGATTTTCCTGCCTACCATTCTTCCTTCAGTCTGTGCTGTGCTTGAGAAATGGATGACAGGTAAGAAAATCCTCCTCCCCATTTTCCTGCCTTTCGCGAAAAAGGCTCCATTCCGAACCTTCAGCGTATCCCAGGATTGCAACGCTGAAGGCTCGGAATGGAGCTTTTTTCGCAAACAGCAGCAAAATGGGGAGGGGGATTTTCCTGCCTACCATTCTTCCCTCAGTCTGTGCTGAGCTTGAGGAATGGATAACAGCTGGGAAAACCCTCCTCCCCATTTTCCTGCCTTTCATGAAAAAGGGTCCATTCCGAACCTTCAGAGTTACCCAGGATTGCAACCCTAACCCTAACCCTAACCTTCTTCCCCTCCTCATGAGCTTTAATTCTTTTCATTTTCAGGTCCAAATTGATACTTCTCCTTTGTAACTTACCTCCATATTGAGCTGGAGCAGAACTTGGTTGCCTTCTTTGGGAAGACATTTCTAGCCTAAGAAAGAGTTGATGGAAAAGTACAGTATCTTGTCCTGTAGAGAGATATAGACTGGCTCAGAGCTGTTTAGTAAGATCATTTAGTAAGATGGGGGAATGAAGTACTATAGTGTAGGAATGTCTTTTCCTTCTCTGTCGATCATTTCTTTCCTTTGACAAATGCATAGCAATGGTCGCTGCTAGCAGCAATATAGTCAGAGGTGGGATTCTACCGGTTCACTATAACCAGTTGTTAACTTTCAAAACAGTTTGGAGAACAGGTTGTTAGAAGAAATCTCCTTTTATTTTTTCCACTTTACAGGGTTAATCCTGTAAGGAATTACAACATTCTGGTGTTGTTTCTAGCCTAATCTTTATTACCCTGCTTACAAAAACTGCCTCTCCATTAACTCTTATTACATTCTTGGCAGTACTCCTAGACTTAGTGTCACCTCCGGAGCTTCTCCAGGTTTTTTTGTTTTTGTTTTTTGCTTGACTTTTTTTAAAGAGGAAGGGTTGTTTTAAGCTTTTTACACTGCTGTTGGGAGGAAACACTCCCCTGTTGGAGTTCTTCCAGCCAGGGTGCAATGATCAGGACTTTGAAGAAATAATTGAATAACGAAGCAGAAGCTTTTAATGACAAGGAACCAAGATGAGTGACATTCAGCAAGGCTTCTTGACTAGCTAGAAAGATTGACATTCAAACGTGAGTTTACATAGCCTTTCTGACTTTTGGTCTAAAATTGGTTTTTTAGTGAAGTTTAATTCTGTGCATGGTGATGTTTAATCCTGTGTTTATTGATGGGATAATTTCCCTATTCAGCTTTGTTTGGAAGAGAAAATGTTAACCTCTGTTCCTGAAAAGAAGCAGCTTCAGAAATCTGGCTAGTTCCTGTGTCTATTTGTTTTGGTAATTGGTTTAATAAACAACAACGACTATGTTTGCTCTTTTGCTACATTTTAATTGCTTTCTTTGTAGTTAGGCTTATCTCAAGTGCTTTTTCTATCTGTAGAGGGGGTCTTCTTTCACTGTTTTAGTGGTTCTTGGCACTGTCCTTTTGGGGTGTACTTCCAAGAGGCAGGATGCAAGATTGACACTGATTTTTTTACTGCTTTTCTGGGGGGCATGTGATCTTTCTTTAAATCTGGATTATTTCCTTAGGATATTTTATGAGGTGAGTGAGACCAGCTTGTATGTTTAAGTGGTGCAAATGGATCTAAGGATTGCTTCTCCTGGGTGTGCTCTTTCTGGAGAGCTTAAATATTGTCTCTGCTAAAGGGTTTCACTTTATGAGCAAGAGTTGGCTGCTGATAGTTATCATTGCAGTTTAACTATTTTAATTCCTCAAGGTGCTCTAGCACCCTGCCTGATTTGTAACTCCAGCTTGCAGGTATTTCTAATCTAATGATTGGTATTTAAGGCAGCTTTTTGCAAGCAAAGAAGCTTTTTGTATTTTTGTACAGGTAATCCTTGATTTACAACAGTTCATTTAGTGACCATTCAAAGTTACAATGGCACTGAAAAAAGTGACTTATGACAGTTTTTCACATTTACGACCGTTGCAGCATCCCCACGGTCACAAGAGGCCAGGCGAGGAGAAGTACACATAAAGCACCGCAGTTGTGAAATGAGTGATAGTTGTTAACAATCCTGCAATGGGAATAAATGACTGGTCGTAAGTGTGAGGACCGGTCAAAAGTGTGAGGACCGGTCAGAAGTGTGAGGACTGGTAAGAAATCACTTTTTTCAGCCTTCTGGGTAGTCCTATGTGCATAGGAAATACTCAGAGGGCTGAAAAAGTGGTTTTTGACCGGTCCTCGCACTTACGACTGTCCTCACATTTTACGTTTTTGTGCCCTATCTTGTCACCGTGATGAAGAGAAGCACTGCAGTTGTGAAATGAGTGTCATGGTTGTTAAGAATGTTGCAATGGGCATAAATGTGAGGATGGTCGTAAATTCGAGGACCGGTCAAAAGCATGAGGACCAGTCATAATTCACTTTTTTCAGCCCTCTGAGTAGTCCCTATGCAGGTAGTCACGCCCACCTGGTCACAAGACCACCAAGCCACCCCCCCAATAAGCCACGCCTACAGAACTGATTGTTAAAAATTTTTAATCCCACCACTGAATATAATGCACAGAATCTGAAAGTCTGTCATTTACAGTACTGTATTAAACTTTGGCTTATATATTCCATCTTTGTTCTTAACCTGTTCCACTTGGTTATTTTTTTCCCTTCATGCACAGCATGTGCAGGATTGGAACAGATTCTTAACAAATGGGAGCGAGTAGATTGTGAAGGCCACACTCTCCAAACTGTCCATTTCTGAACAAAAGCCAGGCTTCATAGAAAAGGATGAAAACTTCAAATAAATAGCATGCAAATTTGAAAATCAGCAGTTTAGAGAAAAATACAGCACCCAAAACAAAAAATCTCCAATGCTGCAGGACTTCACGTGCATTAATTTTAAAAAAAATATTTTGCACTACAATATCTTAACAGAATCCCTTACCTAAGGAGGCCATGTTCCTCTTGTTTTCCAGCATGACCTCTCGGTACAGGGCTTTTTGCTCTAAATCCAGCAGGGCCCACTCCTCCATGGAGAAAAACACAGCTACATCCTCAAATGATACCAAATTCTGACACAGGGAGGGAAAAAAAACACAACATATTCCATGAATATTCCTAACAATGAACACTTCAATGAATTACATTTGAGTCTACTTGTTAATGAAAAACCTCTACAGCTTCCAAGTAGGGTAAACAATAATGTTATGATATTGAATTTAGTAGCTGGAACAGTAAAATGTACAAATAGGCCGCAACACAATTGAAATTGATTAGTTAGAGAGGGCTAACTCATGCATGATGCAATCTACGCTCTGATTGGTTGCTGTAAGTATAAAGGGGGCGTTTCCCTTTTTTCCCTCCTTTTTCCCTTCTGTGTTTTAGATTTACCTCAGGATGTTCCTGATTATCTTATGCTCGTCCTTTTCTTGATGATTACAAAGACTGCTATAAATTGGTAGGTTAAAAAGATTTATATTTATATAAAAGTTTACAAGTCTATGTCAGTGTCTCCAACTTTATCTGGACAGCTACTGAGCTGTCTACAAAAGTCAAGTTTGGACTTTACTTTTTACTTTGGGCTTTCATCTGCACTGCTTTAAAAACACCTGAGTAAAGACCACACCTGGAATACGATGTGGAGGCTTTGGAAAAAGTGCAAAGAGCAATTAAGGATTAAAGGCTTTGAGACTAAATCGTATGAAAAACGGTTTTCCTTCAGAGGTTGTGGGCTGGAGGTTTTTAAGGAGAGACTGGACACCACTTGTCTGAAATGGTATAGGGCCAGAGGTGGGTTTCAGCAGGTTCTGACCTGTTCTGGAGAACCGGGAGCAGACATTTTGAGTAGTTCAGAGAACCCATAGTAAAAATTCTGACTGGCCCCACCCCCATCTATTTTCTGCCTCCTGAATCCCAGCTGATTGGGAGGAAATGGGGATTTTACAGTAACCTTCCCCTGGAGTGGGGTGGGAATGGAGATTTTACAGCATCCTTTCCCTGCCACGCCCACCAAGCCATGCCATGCCCACCAAGACACACCCACAGAACTGGTAGTAAAAAATTTTTGAAACCCACCACTGTATAGGGACGTGATGGCAAACCTATGGCACATATACCATAGGTGACACACAGCCCTCTCTGCAGCCACACCAACCGTCAACCCCACCCTAGCTCCACTGTGCATGTGCACACGCCTCCTGCCGGCCAGCTGGTCTTCAGCTCTCTGCTGCGCATGCATGGAGGGGGAGGGGCGCATACAGGGGACGGGGCGCATGCACAGAGGGGCGGCGGTGCAGGTGAACGAGGGATGTGCACATGCTTTGGGCAGTCGGTGCCAAGAAGGTTAGCCATCACTAGTATAGTCTCCTGCTTGAAACAGAGGGTTTTACTAGATCACGAAGATCCCTTCCAATTATGTCGTTCTGTTATTGGGAGATTGGCACATCTGGGGAGAGGAAAATCCTCCTACCTGTGTTGGAAGCTCAACCGCTGCTAATCCTCCGCTAAAAAGAACTGAGGTTCCAGGAGATGAAGACGAGGCCATGAGAGTGTCTAGGAGTGAAAACAAAACAGCAAAGGAATAATTTGCTATCAAACAGCCTAATGATATTCTTGAGCATACAATCCAAAAGGCTGATTTTAGCCTATTTCTAGGCTAACTTGGGAAGCACTTAATGTGAGTGCCTGGCAGCCACAAGAACAATACATAGAAGCTCAGCCTGGGTGAGAGGAAAACTGAAAGGTGTGGAAGGACCAGGGAATTGGATTCAGAGGAAGCTCTCTCAGCCATGGATGTATGCATTAAAGGACCAATTCTTATTCTATGTTCCTATAATGTTCACTTTCCCTTATCAGATGATAGAGGAAGACTACAAAAGCTCCTTTTTTCACAGCTGGGACTTGCCTTTTGGAATAGCCTACAGCAGAAGTGAGGAAGTATGATCCTTTTATGACAGGTGGACTTCAACTCCCAGAATGCCTGACACAGCTGGCTGAGGAATTCTGGGAGTTGAAGTCCACCAGTCCTAAAAGGGCCCTAGTTCCCCACCCCTGGCCTACAGCGACATTTCTCAATCTTGGGAGCTGTAAAATATGTGGACTTCAACACACATGGGACATTCTGGGAGCAGAAATCCACATACCATGAAGTTGCCAAGGCTGAGAAACAGTGGCCCACAGGAAAAGGCCGATAAATGCACCCAAGACTTTAAAAACACAGTTAAATTGAAGAATGGAAACGAATTGAGGGATGAAAGCAATGAGAGCAAACAGATTAAAAGGCATCAGAAGGAGCCTTTACCCGATGCTCCCTCCGGAGGCGGCTCCTCTTGAACAACTCCCCGAAACAAGGGCTCCTGGGAGGGATCGCCCCCTTTTCTCCCCGCCGGTTTCGCAGCCATTGAAGCCTCCTGGATCTGAAGCAGCACCAGAGAAAAGGAAAAGGACGGGAAACGATCAGGAAGAGACAGCAAAATAATAATAATAATCTCCCCAAGGAGAAAATGGGGACTGCTGTAGCGATTTCAGCAGCCCCCGAAGAAGCTGCATTGAATGGTCTCCTGTCTGAGGATTTCCCAGGGAGGGAGGGAGCTTTTTACATGGCGCTCAATAGGAAAGGGGCGGCTCCCTTCTTCGCCCGGACTCCGCTTCCCAATAGATGCGCGCAGGAAAGGATCCGCGATCGCCGCCGGCCACGTTTCCTTCCTTCCCGGTCATGCACCTGGATCCCACTCCCCGGAACGACCCCAGCCAGGAGTTTGCATATCCCAAGCTGGAAGCTCTTATAGCCCCTCCCCTCCCCGTCCAGCTCCTCCCATTCTGTAAAGAGCGGAGAGCGCCGCCCACTCGGGGGTCACCCTGCCTGCTCACTACCTTCTTCCACGGGAGAATCGGTCCCGCGTGGGATGGTCAGCTGTGCAGCGAGTCCAGAGCTTCTTTGCCCCAGGCAGTCAGAGAAAGAGGGGCGAGAGGGAGGGGACGACGCCCAGGGATGAGAGGAGGAAAGGGAAGAGGATGCGGAGCAGCAAGTTAGGAGGGAATCGCCCTTTAACGGAATAACACTTGTGAAGGACCTTGGAGGTCTTCTAGCCCAACCCCGAAGGAGTGAGAGAAACTGGAGAGAGGGTGGGGACAAGGGAAGGGAAGGGGATGCAGAGCAGCAAAGTTAGAAGGGAATCGCCCTTTTCACAGAAAGCTGGATTTGGCAGGAAAAGGAGCCTCTCTTATCCACTTAGCATAGTCCTCAACTTACAACCTATTCAGGGGTGGATTCTAAATTTTTTTACTACCGGTTCTGTGGGCGTGGCTTATTTTGTGGGTGTGGCTTGGAGGTCATGTGACTAGGTGGGCATGGCTAGCTGGTCAGTCATTTCTGGAAGGTCCTCGCCCTTACGACTAGTCCTCGCACTTACGACCCAACTCATTTGTTTGCTTTTAACACTGATCAGCTGTAGGACTGCCCTTTGAAGCCCTGTGGCAAGAGTTTAACAGTTTTTTTTCCCTCTAGTCATCAGCTGGGACTCAGGAGGCAGCAATAGATTGGGGGTGGGACCAAATAAAAGGTAATAACGTGTGGAGGGCGGGGGGGAACCGGTTCGGTGACGTCATATCGTCACCGCTACCGGCTCGGCCAAACTGGACCGAACCGGGAGGAACCCACCACTCATTCCCTTAAATGACTAACATACATGATTGTGCCATAATAACAAATAATCAATGGCTGCCTTACAAATTGTTGTTAGTTGCGAAGTCGTGTCCAACTCATCGCGACCCTATGGACAACTTTCCTGCAGGCCTTCCTGACTTCTACCATCCCCCAGAGTCCATTTAAGCTCACGTCTACTGCTTCAGTGACTCCATCCACCCACCTCATTCTCTGTCATCCCATTCTTCTTTTGCCCTCTATCTTTCCCAGCATTAGGCTCTTCTCTAGTGAGTCTTTCCTTCTCATTAGGTGGCCAAAGTATTTGCATTTTATCTTCAGGACCTGGCCTTTTAAAGAGCAGTTAGGGTTGATCTCCTAGGACTGACCGGTTTGATCGTCTTGCAGTCTAAGGGACTTGCAGGAGTCTTCTCCAACACCAGAATTCAAAGTCCTCAATTCTTTGGCGCTCAGCCTTTCTTATGGTCCAACTTTCACAGCCATACATTGCAACTGGGAAAATCATGGCCTTGACTATACACAGTTTTGTTGGCAGGGTGATGTCTCTGCTTTTTAGTATGCTGTCTATTGACATTGCGGTACCAGGAGATGCCAGAGTCGAAGAAAAAGAACTGGAAAAAATTATGAACTATCGCGACCTGGCCATCGAAACTACACGGCTATGGATGAAACATGTAACAGTGATACCCATTGTCATTGGGGCACTAGGTACCATGTCCAAGAATTTTATAAGATACATCAACAAATTGCAGCTTCCTGCAATAACACCAGCAGAACTGCAAAAAACTGCGCTACTTGGAACATCATACATCTTAAGAAGGTTCTTGGTTGATATCTAGGACGCTGGCAGCAACCCATATCATTAGCACCAGTCAATGGTATTTGTGATGCATTTTTGAATGTTCAGTTGACTGAGTTTCATGTTTAATGAATAAAATAAATCATCATCATCATCATCATCACGTTGTCATTGTACGTGTATACACAGTATGCCCATACAACAAAATTCACTTAACACCAAAGACCAGGTCCAACACACATAACAATCCTGAAATATACCCCCACCCACCACAAATTCCCCACCCCTAAACCACCCAAACATCCACACAACAGACCAAGTAATGCTGTCCAACAGCTCACTGATGGTGGCCCTTTCGTTCATTGTTGAGTGCAATTATAGCTCTGGGATAAAAACTATTCAGAAAATGTGTAGACCGAGTTTTAATTATTCTGTATCTTCTGCCAGATACAACTGATCTTCTGCAACAGTCCAAAAAGATTGTAAGCAGGATGGGAAGAGTCTCTGAGAATGTTATGCAACTTCCTCAAACAACGAGATTCGAAGATGTCGTCCAGGGCTGGTAGCTGGAGCCTGATGATATTCTGGGCAGTTTTAATGATTCTCTGTAGAGTTTTTTTTGTCCGCTACAGAGCTGCTCCCATACCATGCAAGAATGCTGTATGTCAGGACACTCTCAATGGTTCTGTGAGAGTAGGACAGAAGTAGATGCTGAGATAGATTTATCTTCCTGAGCATTCTCAGGAAGTACAGCCTCTTCTGTGCCTTCTTCACAAGCATGTTAACATTCATAGTCCATGAGAGGTCCTTCGAGATATAAATGCCCAGAAATTTAAAACGACCAACCCTCTCCACCTCCCCACCATTTACAAGTTAGAAGAAATCATCCTTTAACAGAATAACAGAGCTGGGAGGGACCTTGGAGGTCATCTAGTTCAACTCTAAGGCAGCCAGAGGAACAGAGGAGAGAGGGAGGGAACTAAGCCCAGTGATGGGAGGAGGGAAGGGTGATGGGAAGCAGCCAATTTAGAAGGGAATCATCCTTCTGGAAGAAAACTGGAGTAGGCAGGAAAAGGAGGCTGCCTTATCCACAGAACTTTGGGGCCGAACGGTGGTTGTAAGTTGAGGACAACCTGTGTTTGAAGTGTTGATGGGGCGTGCCTGAGAACAATATGATTTTAAGATGGAGACAACCACCATTCAGTCCAAAATGTCTTCCCCTAAAAGAGGAGAATAAAGATACAAGAGGGGGAAAAACAATAAAAACTTTCTTAAGACCCACCCACCCACCTCATGCTTTGTAAGAGTCCCATTAACCATTCCATTCTGAAGCGGTGAAAAGATCCATCTATTTATTTATTTATTTATTGGATTTGTATGCCGCCCTTCTCCCAAAGGACTCAGGGCGACTCACAACAATAAGAAACAGAAAATACAAAAGTTAAAAGATAAATTAAAGCAGAATATCCAATAAATAAGGTTAAACGTGGGAATACAAATTCAAATTTAAGATTTAAGAATTTAAAAAGCTACAAAATCAGTTTAGAGTCAACCCAGGCTCGCCCGTTGGAAGAGCCAGGACTTCAAGGCCCAGCAGAAGGCTTGGAGATTGGGGATTATCCAGAGCTCCAGGGGTAACGTATTCCAGAGGGTAGGAGCTTCCACAGAGAAGGTTCTCCCCCTAGGGGTCACCAGTCGACATTGTCTAGCCAAAGGTACCCTGAGGAGGCCAACTCTGTGGGAGTGAACCGGGTGATGGAAGGCTACTGGTGGCAGGAGGTGGTCTTGCAAGTACTCTGGTCCTAGGCCACATAGGGCTTTAAATGTGATCACCAGCACCTTGAATTGCACTCAGAAGACAACCGGGAGCCAATGCAGACCGCAAAGAAGTGGTGTGACATGAGAATACCGAGGTACCCCCATGACAATCCGTGGGGCCGCATTCTGCACCAGTTGAAGTCTCTGAGTGCTCCTCAAGGGCAGCCCCATGTAAAGTGCATTGCAGTAGTCCAAACGAGAGGTGATGAGGGCATGAGCAACTGTGAGTAACGCATCTCAGTCCAGAAAGGGGTGCAATTGGTGAACCAGGTGCACCTGGACAAAGGTCCCCCTGGCTACGGCAGTCAAATGATCTTCCAAGATAAGCCGTGGGTCAAGAGGACTCCCAAATTACATACCTTCTCTGGGGGGGTCAACACCTCCCCCCCTAGGGATAGCGATGGAACATAGTAGACAAAACGGGGTGCTGGTAACCACAGCCACTCAGTCTTGTTGGGGTTCAGTCTAAGTCTGTTCATCCCCATTCAGACCCGTACGGCCTCCAAGCACCGGGACATCACGTCAAGGGCATCGTTGGGGTGATGCGGGGTGGAGATGAAAAGTTGGGTATCATCAGCATATTGATGATACTGCACCCCGAATCCCCGGATGATCTCACCCAGTGGCTTCATATATATGTTGAACAGGAGAGGCAAGAGAACCGACCCCTGTGGCACCCCACAAGGTAGGGGCCTAGGGGTCGACCTCTGCCCCCCCTGCCAGCACAAACTGTGTACAACCTGAGACGTAGGAGGAGAACCACTGAAAAACAGTGCCTCCCACTCCCAACCCCCTTAGCCGTCACAGTAAGATACCATGGTCGATGGTATCAAAAGCCGCTGAGAGGTCAAATAAGACCAGGACAGAGGAGTAACCCCTATCCCGGGCACGCCAGAGATCATCTATCAATGCGACTAATGCCGTTTCCATGCTGTGACCGGGCCTGAAGCTGGACTGAAACAGGTCCAGGTAATCCGCTTCATCCAGGAATTGTGGGAGCTGACGCACCACTGTGCTTTCAACTGCCTTCGCCATAAGGCGAAGGTTAGAAACTGGGCGATAGTTCTTAAAAAGAGCCAGATCCAAGGCAGGCTTCTTGAGGAGGGGTCTCACCACGGCCTCTTCAAGGCAGAGGGGAAGATTCCCTCTCTCAATGAAGCATTAATTACTGCCTGGAGCCAGCCTCGTGTAACCTCTCGGGAGGTCGAGACCAACCAGGAGGGACACATCTAAACTAGGAAATATTTAATATATAACTATTTAAAAGGCCTGAGCTAGGAAAGATGTAATCCCCCCATTTACAAGTATATGCAGTTCACAAGAAAAACTGCTAATACACAGTACAGGTAGTCCTCATCTTATTACTTGTCAGGCGTGCCTCCTTTCAGATTTCAGGAAAGAATGACCCCCGACTCCATTTCCATAGATAAAGGTACTTTTACTGAAATTGAACTGAATGCAGCCAAGAAAAGCAGAATCTGAAACAATAGGTGTGAAAATCACATATAGAAAGCA